GATCAAGTCAATTTTCAGTTTGGCAACATTGATCCATATTCTTAGGTTGCGAATAACTTTCATCATATTCAGTAATTTCCTTTTTTAACCATTACTAGCTTCCCAAGGCGAAACAGTTTCCCTTTGGCCACGGTTCCGCGATCTTCGCGATGGATCATTTCAAGCTTCTTATCGAATTACATTCAGCATCAGCACGAAACAATTCGATGAACATCCAATGTGACAACCGCTAAACAATAAATTCCGAAGCTCCCAATAATCAGTGGTTTACTGTTTTCGATCGAAGACCGTGCCCGCGGCCAGTGGCTCTCAACCGGGCGCCCCGCGTGTTTTATCGCTCCGGGTGAACGTGCGTCGTCGTATCCCTGGATGCTCCAGCGTAGCGGAACTTCAACCGGTTCCCGTGGACCGGGATAGCTCGCGTTACATCAGGCAACTTTCTAATCGTGGAAAATAATATGGCCTTTTATCGGTCGCGTCGCGTCGGGTGAACTCTTTCGCTCGCTCGTTAATAGGCAAAAGAGAGGACAAAGAGAGAGAGAGAGAGAGATGGAGAACGTTCGGGCCCGAGGGAGACGTTCACTCTCTGGGCCCGCTGCGTTACGTTCGCGGCATTTATCACTGCGGTCTCCGCGTTACGATGCGTCTCCCACCCCCTCGCCCATGTGCCCATTCGACGACACGTGATAAAGTTGTCGAAACACTCGTGAAACGATTCTTTCCCTTCCTTACCTTTTCTTTTTCATTCTCATTGACTTTCCTCTTTTTTTCTTGTGTCTCGATGGTTTCGATGTTTAGTTACTGTTATTCAATTTTCCTTTTTTGTTCCTTGTTAAAATGACGTTTGATGAACTTTTGTACGTCACGACTCGACGCACATGCACGCGTAGCAGTGGAAAAATGACAAGATTACAATTAATAATCCATATTTATTGCTAATTACCGCTTTAGATTATTTTATGTCCCTCCGGTCGGAATTACCCCCTTCTTCTTAATGAGAACTTCAACACGGGAAGTTAATTAGCTAATGGGAAGATGAAGTATTACGGCCCTCGAGCTGCAATAAAATAATATTAAATAGGATAATCCTATAATCCGTAAAACCGTTCGAGGTATATAAATTGAGGAGGAAAACCAAATAGCTATTACCGCTTGCTGAATCGTAAGACAGTTTAGATACGACAAAGAAAATCCGTTGAACACAGGAAATAACATACTACTGTATTTTTTACTTTGTTTTCCGTTTCCTATTTTATCAATGGCCTAAAGCTTCCGATGGGCGACGCATATTTCCATTGTTTTTTCTTATTTTCTTCAGGAAACCATAAACGTTGGAAATGTTTCCAAGCAATTCATCCGACTGTTATACGATCTTCATTATCTTCTCGAAAGAGAAGTTATTAAATGAATTGATGTAATAATACGCGAATAAAAATATAATTGAATTTAAACCTAATTAAACTCACTCTTCTAATTTATAGAAGAAATCACAAGACAATCGATTCGAGTGTTCCACAGTCCTTGCTAATGTTAAGAAGTCGAGGAAACCTTTCGGTTCATTAACAAATTCGTTTCAGCCGTACGGCGTTCTGCGCGATGACAGAAATGGCTTACACGATGGATCGCGTCACGTGAATTTAAAAACTCGGCGACTACAACCGGATTAAACGCGTATCGCTACACCTGGCGCGCGTGTAGAACCGGTAGAAGCAGTTTCGCCGCGTTCGATGGCAAAATTTCTGGCGATATGAGTGACATAGACAGATAACAACAGCCAACAATGTTGGCCGGCGGAACGTCGCCGCGAGCAACGCGTGTTGAAACTTCGTTCCGAATCGGCGAAGGCATCACTCGTTAAATTGAACTTGTAATCTCAGATAGCAAACAAATACGCGAACATAATTTTCTTCATAAAAATGTTAGCTTACAAGACACGTAGATGACAAAGATCTTAATACCATCTATTTCCTCCAGACATCCAAAATTGCAGGTTCTCTTGAAATCCTCTACATAGAAATTTCTTTCCCGATTGTACTCTTTGCTTTCTGATAAAATAACGAGCGTCTTAATAAAACGAAATCCAATGAAAGACATGACAGAAAATAGGCGGGTATCACGAACAACGCGTACTAGAGTTTCATTGAATATAATATAATAACACGTTTCTTGATTTCCTCGAAAAAATGTGAGGAAATGCTTCGCGAAGAGGTAATTTCGAAGCATGTATCGAGCTTCGATGCTTCCGAACGACTGAAAAATATAGCAAGAAACTCGATTGTAGCAGAAATTTCATCGTGTCCGATCGAATCGCGCGTGAACGCGTCGAGTATCCGCGGTGCAACGACGATGGAAGAGCGTCCCGCGGCAGAAATTTATCGAAACTCGTTCTCCGTCGATCAGAATTTCATGCTCCATTAGTCCGCGAGCCTGGTGTCCTTTACGTTTGTTACACATTGTATAATAAGCCTCCGTTCGCCGATGCGTCAAGTGTATAATGGGAAACTCGGAACATTCCTCGGACAAGGATAATGGGAGTACTATACAGTCGGACAAGAAATACGATCGGAAAAAAGGATCACCTTGCGAGATCGGCAATTAACCGATCAGCGTGTCGCATGCATTTATTCACCTACGTATCGACAATATAAAGACTTCACTCGACGGACGGAAAGAAGAAAAGGAAAAGGAAGAAACGAGAGAGAACAAAGGAAAGAGAGATTCAATTGTGCAGTTCATTGGCGAAATCGGTTAACTGCACTTTTCGAATTGTTTTAAATTTGATCGTCGAAACGATCGATTGGGTTAACTGCCTATATTTAAAATAAGTTTCCTTGCTATCGGTTTCGATTACCATTCTCTTAGCTACGCGAAAATATTAATCATAATGAAAATTGCTTCAAGAATATACAGCTTTACGCATTTCATGTATGCATTGAATTAAACTTGTGCTGTAACGAAGTAAGATAATACCATTGTTTCACTTTTTTATATCGTTTGTTTTGGGATTAATCGATTTGGCCAACGAGTGGTTTAATTGGGTGTACGCGCGTGTATCACAATCGAGAAGAATTCACGTTCTTGCAAAATATCGCGAGTGGCTTCAGCTCACGGGTCGTTTCAGATGCTGCCGCTCCTCGAGACACGCTGCTCATCCAGCCGGATAATTGTCGATATCGAAGCGGACGTGCGTTTTTCTCGGACGAGAAAAATCGGAGCAATTCGCGGAGAGCTATTTGTATCGGCGGCTGTTTAGCTTGGAATGAGATATGGACGATGATTGAGAAACAGCGGAATATAAATTGACGCTGTCCGGTTGCTGCGATTCAATTCGAAACGGCACATTATCTTCGACACATTCCTTTTTGCGTCACGGCGTGATAGTTTGTGCGTAAATTTTGCGCAAGCGATTTTTCACCTGTCGCGCCCCGCCTTCGTGAAATAATCGTTTTCTTTTCTCATCGTCGTTTTCCGCTTTAATAATAGACACCGATCAGTTTTAATGTATGTGATTCCTATTCTTTTCTTCTGCTCTTTAAATCGAACGGAACACACTTTGGTGTCGGTACTTAGTCTTCAGCTTGAACACAGGTTCGAGGGTGGACATTAGCATTTTTTGCTTCACGAGTGTTAGCGTTAAAACAGAAACGACTCGAAGGTGAAACATCGATGTTGGAATTCCAGATGAGCAATCTCGTTTATCAAGGCATTCCAAAAGTTTCAATGAATAATTAATACGTTCACGTCGCGGCATGTTTTTATACGTTTGATCGTGCATCGTAACAATATCAAGGCGACATTGTAATGACAAGAATATTCTTTTTTTACATGTTCAGTTCAGTATGTTCAAATAATTTGATAAATCAGATAATTATCTGTGTTAACTCATTTTATTCTTGTGAACGATCGATGTACCACCGATAGTGCACGCCGGTGTGAACGCGTTAAATCCTCGTACGTGTCAGGAATAAGTGAAAACGTTTTACGACCAGGGAGATATATTCCGCGAAAGATTCTTTGATCGACGTATGACACCCAGCGTTAGTAAGTTCGCGAGCTACTACGGTCGTAACGAGCATGGTATGCGGTACGCTTTCACCGTTTGCAATATTCATCCATCCACGCATTGTTATTACATGCGTGCACGTTGCAGAATTCCAGCGTGTTACCACACGCCGTAACCTCGACTATAACACTTCATCGAAATTCGTCCGCCGGTATACAAAGTCTCTCCTAACCGATGCCACGCGTAAACAGAGAAAGAAAGAGAGAGAGAGAGAGAGAGAGATGCACAGAAAAAGTGGTTTTTTGAAAAGCATCGAATAAAATGGTTGTCAATTCGAATTCTCTTCGAGAGAATCCAGATTGATCGTTCACAGATAAATTTCATTAGCAGGAGACTGTTCCAGGCGAAAAAATCATGCGAAAAGGTGGAATAAAATTTTTTGATTTATATTATCGCGATTGCTTCGAAAAGATTCGATTTGAAAACTTGAGATCCAATTATGAAAACGGAGCTAAGGAAAAAATGTTATTCCACGTTTGCCGCTTTCTGCAACCAACGCGACATGACCAGTGCGAGTTTTCTGTGTTCGCGAGATTTTCGGGGATAAAGAAGATTAACTTTCTTTTTTAATCGACTCCTAGGACACTTCGAAGTTGTTCCGCTGTTTTTTGTCGAAGATTCCAGTGTTTCCCGGTTCCCGATACCCGAATCGTGTTACATTCAATCAATTCCAATTTGTGTAGGTTTTTTTTTTTTTTTTTCTT